CTCGTGTGTCACCGACTTTTTCCGGGGTTTGTTTCTCCTCCGTGGGCAGCGCTGAGGCCTCGGCTGGGGCTGACTTCCCTGGGGTCTGGAGACCACCAGAGCGGGCACCCCTCCACCAAACCACCAAGAGGCTGTGCGCACGTGTCTCAACTCCCCAGCTCCCCCGCCCCTCTCATCCCCAGCCTGGGTGGGAAGGGCTTGCCCTCCAGAACCCCGGCAGGTCAGGCTGGGCGCCCCGAGGGTGCCCTACACAGAGAGCAGGCACTCAGGGGACAGCGGCCTTCTTCTCCCAGAGGCTCTGCCTGCCCTGAGGTCCTCTGGGGCCCACCTCCCACGCCTCCTCCCTCCTCCCTCCTCCATCCGTTCTTATCCTCCTCCACTCTTCTTCCATCTTTGCTCTATCCTCTACCCCTTCTCTATCCACTTCCTCCTCCTTCCATTCTCCCTCCACCCTCCGCCCATTCTCCATCCTCTGCCCGTCTTCCATCCATCCATCATCCTCCACCCATCCTTCATCCTTCCTTCATCCTCCCCCCTCCATCCTTCTCCATCCTCCCCCCATCCTCCGTCCTTCCTCCTGGTGCCCCACACTCAGCCTCCAACCCGGGCACACCCAGGGAGAGCAGCGGCACCTGCTTGCCCCATGATTCCATCTGGGCATGCCACCTGCCTGTCACCGCCACGCCAGTGCCCCCAAGCCGCCCTCCCCCAGGAGTCCCCTGCTCCTTCCTGACCCTACCTCAGAGCTCAACCCCCCCGTGGGCTCAGCCAGCCTCAGTGACTCTAGGGCCTGCAGACAGGAACACCGGAGTGCGGAGAGCAGAGTCCACACTGCACTGCCCAGACTCTGTCCTGCCTTCTGCCTCCCCTCCCCGAAGGGCAGGTCCAGACCAGCGGGCCTGTGGGGAGTCAGGAACCAGCCCCCTGGAGGACACCCTGGGCTGGTTCAACCTTGGGAGGGTCAGGGCAGGCTGGGGAGAGGCCACACCAATCTCGGTCAAACACAGAAGGGCCCAGACGATACCTTAGGGGCAGGGCTCCGGGGTAGGGCCTGGACGCTGCCTGACTTCCCCCACCCCCACACTCAGCATAGTGCCACAGGGTTGGCATGCCAGGCCCACGGGAGGGGCTGCCCCCTGCCACGGTGGACCAGGAGGCGTGGTGCAGTTCCCCTGGACACATGGAGCTGTCCTCCCGGCCGCTGTGAAGGGTGACCAGCTATCACTGTGTGCCCAGGACTCTCCTGGTTTCAACACTGAAAGTTGGATCCCTTCAGCCCTGAGCAAATGGGGACAGGGATCACCCTGTTCTGTGGGTGGCCGTGACGTGACTTCACCTAGTCAAGGGGCAGCCGGCTGAGGGCAGCTTAGAGGATCTCCCGGGCATGAAGGGGTATCAGACTGTTATAAAAAATGTACCTCCCAAAGTGGAGCTGCCACCTCCAGTAGGGATCAGAGCAGCACCCCCAGGACATGCCCAGGCCACCCTTCTTGGCCCACCTCCCTCCCCGGGAGAAGCAGCAAATCTCCCCAGGTCCTGGGACACCGGGAACCTGGTGCCTTTTCTGCAGCTGTTCCATCACGGCTGCTGCTCAGTCCCTGTTTTTACCCCAGGGATCGGGGCCTGAACCCCCAGGCTGGGGCATGCTGGGCCATCTCAGACGGGAGGGTGGGGTGCCTCAGATGGAGTCCCACGTAGAATAAGGATTACTACAGCCCTCACCCCCTGCCCAGAACAGCAGCATGTGTCCCTGGGGAATTGGGTCTGAGCTGCTTGAGCTGGCGCTGGAACTGGGATCCCAGTTGCTATCCCCCATGCAGCCCCTTCTTCCCGGATTTAGGTGGACAAGGCAAGGGCATCAAAGAACACAGGCTAAATCCACATCTAGCGCAACATTAGAGGCTGCGTGTTGGGATCTGAGCTGGGGGCGCGCTGCGGCGAGAGACCCCAGGGCATGCTCTAGCAGGGTCCCCCAGCCTCTCGCCATGCTGTGTGTTGGGGCGGTGGGTAGAGGGCGACATCTCCCTGCCAGGCACCCTCGCTGTGCAGGGCCACCTCTTGGCCCAGCATGAGGAGCCCAGTCTGGTGCACAGCTGGCACCCGCTGTGGCCTTTTCTAGGGAAAGCACAGGCCTGGCTGGGCTGGGGGAAGTGAGTGCCTACACACCAGCGCCCCACATAGAGCCCCTCTAGCAAGGAGGGGTGGCCGTCCTGAGGGCTCGGTGCCTAAAACCCCCATCCCAACAGGGTGCACACCAGCAACGGTGGGATACCCACCCATGGGATGCCCCGGCATGGGCCAGGTGGATCCGCTGGCCATTCAGCAAAGAAATCCAAGGCCAGCATCTTAGCCGGAAGCCTGGCCAATTGGGGGCCCTCTCCAGGGAGGGGGCTGGCCCAGTGGGAGATGGAGCAAGGAGCATTTAGGAGGCCCTCCCCCTATAGAATGGAGCTCCGGGTTGCCCCAAATCTGCTGTCTGGGAAATCTGTAATGAGCAAATAGCCCCTCTCAGCTGTACCCTCCCGATACAGGTCACTTGAACCAAGAAATAAAACATAAAACCCACTCACGGAGAAGGTGGTAATGGCTGGGCTTTGTTGGGCCTCTACCCCATCCTTTCTGAAGCTTCCAGACTGGCTTTGCCACATGGGAACTTGTGGTGTGTCAGCCCGATCTTTGCACCCGGGTATGTCCCTAGGTCACACTTGGGCCAAGTCAGAGACTCCCATGACCGGGGCAGGGCAGGAGGCCATGGCAGGCCACAATGGAGCTAAGACCCCCTTCCCCACAGACTCCCCCGACCCCTGTGCAATAGAGGAGGCAGGGGAGGGCCACCAGCCTGTGACACGAAGACAGAAGGGCCCAAGGCCCACGCCCACGGACAGCACCAAAGAAGAGCACTGTGTGGAAAGACTGCTTTATTTTCTAATAATGGTAATGTGGCTGGAATGGCTTCTGAAGATGTATATATTTTTTAAAATGGCGGTCCCCTGTCACAGCATCACCCACTTGTGCATATTTCTGCCTCTGTACGTGTCCCCCAAAAGCCCCCCATGTAAACCAGGCGCCCTAGGGTCCTCCCGTCCTGGCCCCGTGTATCTGGAGTCTAATAAACAAGGAAAGCCCTGCTGAGATGCTCCACACACTGTCTTTCCCGGCTCGCTGGCCTCCAGACAGCACAGGTCTCAGGCCGAGGCCCAGGGAGCCTCAGCCTCAGCGTTCTCTGGGCTGTCACCGGGCGTCTTAGAAGCATGTCTGGCAAGAAAGCTCAGGAATGCAACTTGAGACACAGGATGCAGGTCTGAGACGTGCCCTGCTGCTTTTTATGTTTTTGATATTCATGGCAGTGCAATGCCAGAGACAAGGACATCAGGTACATGGGAACCCAAATGGTTCATTGCCTCGGGATTCTGAAACACACCTGCCCACGCATGCATAGAGCACTGACAGCACAGCCCGCATATTGCGTGTTGTTCTGGGACACACTCGGGACCAGTGAGACCAGAGGGGAGGGTCTGGGAGCATCAGAGAGGCTGAAAACAAGATGCTTTTGGCTGCAAGTAAGAGAGACCTCAGCTTATACCAGCTTACTGGGTGTATTGCCTTGGATTTATGTGAAGTCCAGAAGTGTAGCAGGCATCAGGCAGGGTTTGATCCAGAGGTTCACAAAGTAAACAGGGTTATGGCTCAACTCACTCAGTTTTGCCTTCTGTTGGCTTCATCCTCAAGCTAGCCTCTTTCATGATAGCAAGAAGGCTGCCCATTTTTAATTTCACATCCCAGGGAGAGAGAAAATCCCCTCCTGCAACCATGGAAAATGTCTGCACTTCATTCTGAACCCCAGTGGTTTTTGTGCCTGCCCCTTCATGAATCACTGTGACCAGCCTGAGGTGGGACCAGTCCTCGATAGCCTTGTTGCTACATGGTGGAAAGGGTAGGCTGGAAGTTTGAAGAAACCAGCCCACCATGACACCCACAGGACCCACGATGGGGACAGCTCAGGATCTAGTCAACATCTGGTAAGCTGTTGTCAGGCCCTTGAAGCCTTGGAAGGTGGGAACCATGTGACTGCTTGTACTCAGCACCAAGCTGGTTCACGTGTGGCAGGTATATGTGCTTGCAGGAGGGAAGGTCCTCAGTTGTGGATTGTTTTTAGGTAATTTCTCTCTCCCTTTTTTGAGTCAGGGTCTGACTCTGTTGCACAGACTGGAGTGCAGTGGTATGATCACATTTCACAACAGCCTCGACATCCTGGGCTCAGGTATCCTTCTGCCTTAGTCTTCTGAGTGACTGGGACTACAGGTGTGCCACAACATCCAGCTATTTTTTTTTCTTTTTTCTTTCTTTTTTTTTGGCGGGGGAGAGATGAGGTCTTGCTACGTTGCCCAGGCTGGTGTCACACTCCTGGGTCCAAGAAATTCTCCCACCTCAGTCTCCCAAAGTGTTGGGATTACTGGCATGAGCCACCACACCCAGCCTTATTTTTAGGTAATTTCTCAATTCATCTGCACTATAAGCAGTGTGTGCATCCTTGTAGGCACACACACACACACACACACAGTTGTTCATACTGCTACCTTACAAAAAAAACAATTAGGAAAGAAACTCAACTATAACACCATGTAATGCAATCGAAATAGAGATATCCTTTGGACTGCCTGTATCTAAGGATTTTCTGTGCTATTTCTTTCATTCGTACAT